TATATATTATCCCTATATTATGTATATACGTGCGAGTACCACATTCAAGAAGGACTAGTGTCGTCTCAGCTGTTTATCATATTTTTACCTGTTGTCTATAAAGTGCACTTTCTGTCATCCATCAGTTTATGTTTCATCCATCGTCAACTGGTCAACTCTAAATGGAAAAATTGCATACTTTCATCCAATAAAACATACCAATAGCAACTGTGCAATAAATGAAATTAAAATTTGTCATTAATGGTATTTTTGATTTCATCGACATTAGCTATTTTGTCTCTATGATTATTTGCTTGCAGGCTGACGAAATGATTGCCGATTTAAGAGACTCACTTGAGGAACTGATAAACAACACTCACTGGATGGATGATTACACAAAAGCAAATGCATTAGAAAAGGTGAATGTTATAAGCCAATTTGTAGTTTGAACTGCGCATGCCTGTATCCAAGGTCAATCGACGTAAACCTATGTTGTGTGAATGTTTGTTTATGTTTAATGACCTTGATACGGGCATGCGCACTCAAATTGGTATGTGTTAATAAGGATGATGATGATACTGATTGAGATACTGATTGTGATGATGAATATGATGATGATGATGATGATGGTAATGATGAACTGAAGCTGTAGATTGGTCGGAAAGGTGCACTTTGTTAAATTCTGAGAAAAAACCTATTATAAAATCCAGTTATAAATTCTAATTATACGAAAGGTAATTATCATTAGTCTGTTTATTAGCTAAGAAATTATTTCATCTTTCCACTGTTTAATCGAAAGCGTACAAACATATTTTCACTCAGTATGATTGTTTTCAAATATATCTGTATTGCAGGCGAAGTCAATACGGCAGATGGTTGGCTACGATAAAGATATGGTTGATGTTGATAAAATCAATAAGTTATACGAAAGGGTAAGGACATTTTTGCAGTTATAATTGTCTGCAGGTTAAAAAAGTGACACCCTGTCATTGTAACTTTTTATAATTATATTGAAGACGAGGTTAGGACAAAATTTGATTTTCTCACAGTGGTAGGGCTTGATGTGGATTGGCTCACAATGGTGAAGCTTGATCTTGATTGGCTGGCAGTTGTGGAGACTGATGCTGATTGACTGACAACTAAACAATAGGCGTATTGTGTCTATTTTGGATGTCAAGGGGTGGTGAGATTTCCCAAGCTAGGGCCGATTACAGAAGGGTACAATGATACAGATGGTACAGTGTCATACGTTAAAATCTCAATGCGTTTTTATGTGCATCTGAATTGCCGTGAAATAATTTTGGACTTTTTCTTCCAACAAACCTTATTTTGTTTGTGAGATTGTAGACTATTGATAACTTCTGATTTCTCCTCAATTGCCTTCTGTTGTTCGAACCCAATGTGGAGATCGTGTTTTGTTATACATAATAGGCCAAACTTTCACATCAACCACATGAATACCTGGTTGACTGGTGTTTTGGGTTTCTAATGCGGATAAATTTTGATGGGGGCATTAGAAGTAAATACCTGGATTTCAGCTTGGTGTAATTTGGCGCCTCTGGTATTATTATATCATTATTTCCAGTATCAGATTTGTCCTTTCTGATATTCTTATACCTGATGTTATCTAATAATATTCTTATATTACATTTGTATTAGTTGTCAGTTGGTTTGTAACCAACGGCTTACTGATTTTGACATATATATTTCTAGAGAGAAAGAGAGAGAGGGAGAGATGATCACTGATGTTACCTGTATTACAATATCCATCGTTTGTGTAACTACATGTCTGTGCCTGTCATTACAAGTCGTCCTGTATAGTACATTATATGACCGACAATAGTATTATTATTATAATTATTCATCATCTTTACCGTTTTATTATTGATGTTGTTTTTAATAATTATATTATATGTTTATCAATTTAGATATCCATCGATTCTGAGAACTACTTTGAAAATATAATAGGCGCATACGAAGAAAATGCGTATCAAAACATGATCAATCTTCGAAAACCAATCGACAAATATAAGTAAGTGTGTAAAGTAATTCCCAAATACTTTTAGTTTATTTAAAAAAAGTTTGATAAGAATAACCCTACATTTTCGTTTAAAATGTAGTTTTGGAATCTCGCTTTTGTGTGTACTATCCCATGGTTGGGGGAGGCTGTACTGTAGACTCTTAGCTGTCGTCTCATGTTTGTTTATTTTTTTAATATTTTATACTCAAAGTCATGCAAAAGGGATAAAAAATAGTATTGCAGAAATTCACGTGCAAAGAAAGGCCATAAAAAAAAACAAACAAAGGAAACATCAAAAAAGGTAAAAATAAATCAGACATTTCACAAAACATAAACGAAAGGAAAAGCAAGACACTGTTGTTCACATCAAAAAACAAAAAGAAAAAAAATCCCCAATCAGACTAGGAACTATATCAAAAACAGAAAAAAAAGAAAGTAACTCCGATTGGAGGAATGGTGGGATGCGTCATAAGCTAAAGGTAGAAATGAACAGTCGTCCAAACTAAGCCTACGAAATATGATGTTATGCATAGATAAGACATGTGCTAGAAGGAACTAAAAGTCAACCGTCTGTTACTTGTACAGTTATTCAAGTGAATTGCACTTGAATGTGTGGATGGTTATGAGTTTGCAAGTACGGGGGGTACACCCAACATTCAAACCTTGCCGCCGCTTATGGCACTGCGTTGAGGTCATAAGCACGAATTTCCACAAAATTTGTCCCACTAGTACATCTGATATCCAATACATTAAATAGCACTTTTAATGCTAACCACGTCTGGATCCATAACCACATTTATTTATTTTATTTATTATCCCGTCCAACAGCAAATACAAAATTCACCACTTTCTGGCGGGAACACAAACGATAAACGGATAGGCTACATAAATATTGTAAAATTGTAGAATACAAATACTATTGTGAGTATGCGCATTTAACACATTAACTTTCAAACTTGTCAACAAAGGAATAACATTTTAGCATAAATAGTATTTAGTTTATGTAGAGAGTTATACTCGAACACTTTTAAAACATTACGAGATTTTGTTAATTTAACAATAGCTTCGATTTAATTATATTGTAAAATTTATTTAATTTCCCAGATGGCCAGGAAAAACAGTTATAATTGTGAATGCGTTTTATGCACACACACGTAATTTGATTGGTAAGTACTATAATTTCAATTTACCATTTGCCTGTTTAGTCATTTCGTCATCATAAATTGTAATTATCTTCAGCTTCCATCCTGTATCTGGTTGTGATGCAGCGTGAGGATTCAGACTATCATAACGCACAGTGCCTATGCTGGATACGTTATGAACACTCGATTAACTATCGCTTCAGCAGTGCAATTATGCGGTATAACATTATATAATACTGTACTCGCACGTTGATGTACTACCGTGTGGACGCTCGTTTGGGTTAACGCGAGCGCATGTTTGTACGTCTGTTGTAAATTTACTTCAGACGGAAGACCGACCGAGCATGACTAGACTAGGTATATATTTACAGCTCATGGGCGTGTATTTGTCTAGCTGAATAAGCCTAATACAATTTCCTTGTAAACATAAATAGATTACAATTAAGTTACTAAAAGATTGAAATTTCTTTTTGTCTTTCTTACAGTTTTTCCAGCTGGTATCCTACAGTCACCGTTCTACTCCACGAAGTCTACGCAGTAAGTATGGAAAACATCCGCCCTTTTTATAACCTGTTATGGTAGGCGAATCAAATTGACAAAAACAGTCACGTTAAGAGGGATTTTACATTCAATTCGTGAATGTGAATACAAAATAACCCTGCTATCAATTCACTCACCGGAGCTTCATTATAATATTTTTTTGTTATAGGTCGATGAATTATGGAGGAATAGGCGTAGTGATTGGACATGAGTTGACGCATGGATTCGATAATAGAGGTAGGTAATTGATAGATGCTGTGTTTTTACAACAAGTGTCTATTCGCTAATTAACCTACAAATCGACTTGAACAAACATGTTTAATGTTCTCTATGTAACCGTTTCCTTTTATTTACCTAGATCTGACTTAGATAATGATTTTATAAACTTTGTCTGTCTTTTTGTAGTAATTTTATTGTACTGTATAATAGAGTCCTACTTATTTTTTTTCTTTATTTCTTTATTGTATCACGTAAAGAATGATGAAAATTACAAAATTTAAACAGTCAAAATACGCATTACACGTCTTGAAAAATTGAAATATCAAATAGAACAAAAATTTAAAAAATATAATCAAGTTCAAAATTTAATATAACAGAAAAATTGGCTGAAAATAAGTTCAAAAGGTTATAGTATATTTACAATTTACAGTTAGAAAGAATAAAAGAGTAAATACAATTTACAAAATTAAAAAAAAAATAATTTCATTGCACATTCAGACTAATTAAATTTAGGTATATATATAAGTATCGAAAAAAAAATAGAAAAAATTAAAAAAGAACACTTTAATTGAATAAAAATAGAATTTACAATTTACAGTTACCGTTTCGTTTCTGTTAAATAATTGTATATTTTAAGAGAAAAAAAAATCATAAAACCAAAATGGCAGTATCATGATTATTACGCAGGTAGGCAGTTCAACCAGGACGGCAACCTTAAGGTGTGGTGGTCTAATTCTTCGATAAAGGCTTACATAGAGAAAGCTGAATGCTTCGTAGAGCAATATTCAAACTACACCGTAAAAACGGCTAGTAAGAAAGTAAGTTGAGTTCTACCATGATGCATTACATCAAATTTGCTAACCATTTGTTTGCCTCCCTATTTTAATTGGTACAATACAATGGTGTAACAAAGTACGGTGTCATGTGGTCAAACACTTTTTTCGATGAACTTATGGATATCTGTTTATTAATGTGACAGCTTTTCTTGACCCTCCCAGAGAAATGCGTCAAAAGAGGAGAGATGAGAATATATAAAGTAAAAACAGTACTATTTTCGACGTCGTCTTAATCATCATCTGAATTGTATACCGTCTGTTAGATGATTATCATTATATCATTATATGTGATTGGTAATGATGATAATGATGATGATGATGATGATGACGGCGACAACGACGATAACGATGATAATTATGATGATAAGGATGATGATGATGATAATGATGAATGAAGAAGAAGAAGAAGAACAAGAAGATGATGATGATGATGATGATGATCAACGATGATAATGATCAATTAAAATGATGGTGATGATGGTGATTATATTGTTGATGATGACGACCATGACGATGATGTGTATTTCTGTTCTCCAAATTTGACAGATACCAATAGATGGCCGGCAGACATTAGGCGAAAACATTGCTGATAACGGTGGTTTAAAGGAATCATATATGGTAAGAAATTGATAAATATACATAACATTTATATTAACATGAAAATTTAAAAAGTAATATTAAATTCAGTATTTTAATTATTCGTATATTTCGGACGGCAGACTTAGATTCGAATTTTCAAATTGACTGATTGAAAATTGATACTATATTGGTTGGTCATATTTTTATTATTTTTTTTAAGGCCAGAATAGTTTCCATATTTTCATATGAATATCGACTCATCAGTTGATTGCGTCTTGTAATTCCAAGAATGCTTATTAGTTGAAGCAAATATATACTAAATAAAACGTAAATAATACACACAAATTCGGTACCGAATATATCGCCCTCTCTAGTGTATACTGAACGCGTTTTGACATTGAGGTCAGTATTATCATATGGTTCCCGTATCTATGATAACGTCCTGTGTTTTTCAACTGAGTAAAATTTTCTTGATTTGCAAATTGTTATTCAATTTGAATTACTTGAATTATATGAAAGGTACTTAAATGCATATTTTTCAACAAATATAACCAATTCAAAACAAATATTTATTGGTCGAGCAAATACATCACAATCGTGGAACCGAATATTTCACATGAGACTGTACGCGTTAAATATTATATTGATTTTATTGTATCCAAATCTAGGCTTACCGAAAATGGGTTGAAAAAAACGGAGAAGAGGAACGGTTGCCTGGATTGGATCTTAGTCATGACCAAATTTTTTTCCTAAATTTTGGGCAAGTAAGTAAGAAGCTGTTTCACAAACTACAATCGCCTATACATTGTTCACTGCCTTTTTTTTAAGGCCGGGCACACATGCGCCGTACTTGTCGCATTGCGTTCTTCGTGGAAGATTGTGACCGGCTTTAAGAGAGCGCTAGTGTGACGTGTCAACGAAATCTTGTTTGACAAAAGCTTCATGGGAAAAAAGCTTTGCTTATTTTGAATGACCCTTTCTATTTCAATTAATAATTTCTGATCTTATATTTATGCCATGTTACTTTTTTACTGCCACTACATTGTTTTTCAATTTGAATTTGAAAAAAGCTATCTACTTGATACTTGATTAAGTGAATATTTGCCTTTTAGGAATTAAGGCTACTTGTAGCTTTACGTTAAGCATGTTATATAAATTTTAAGCATATGAACGAAATTGTTAGCCTACTTACTGAATATTTAACCTGAATTTATATTATTACTTTTAAAGATCTGGTGCAGCAAAGCCAAAGAGGAGGAGATCATCCACCAGATTAGTGTCGCAGATCACGCATACGCAGATTATAGGTAAATTATACATTTTAAAATTTTACTGCATAAATCAATTCTGGAATCCGCTACTTTGATAAAGACGTATACTCTATTTATTCAACTTTTGGCACAAGTTTCAAGGATATGCCTGACAGCAAACTTAACCACTTTATTTTTCTAAATTGCCCTGTCAAAAAGTTCTACATATATTCTCGTTATGGGGCTTAGGAAGTGGAGATGATTTTGGTCTGAGAAAAAAAAAATGTAATGCAGTATACTCATATTTGTTATTGTGTTTATTTTTTAAAGAGTTATTGGCAGTGTTTCTAACTCTGAGGCTTTCGCAAAAGCATATAACTGCCCGGTAGGAAGTCCTATGAATCCGAAGAAAAAGTGTGCTGTGTGGTGAAAGTGTTTTTACAGAAGTTGAAGCCAAATCAACGTTAACTTGCCGTTCATATAAGGCCTGCGAAAACAGTGACACGTACGTCTAATGGATAGCAAGACAAACGCACTTGCGTGCACGAGTTGGTTGCACATATAACACTCTTTCTACCTTGAACGACATGGCCCGGCTACGCAAAGTTAGTACGGTAGTGTACGCCTGTCAATTTCGCACAATAAACTCTTTCTGTAAATAATATCATGTATTTTTTTTAACGAGGGTGCCACAAATACTAACGTCTATTAGAATTACCTTATTTGGCGCCAGATTAGAAAATATTGAAATAGAAGTAAACGTATGTAGAAATTGTAAGTTTCAGGAATATTGAATGTATACATATTCATAATCACACATCCAGGGTCAAATGTCAACTCGAAGGCGAATAGATTTGTTGGGTATTTATAGACCACGGGTCGTAGGTTGCTGTGATTAGACATAACCGTTAATGAAATTATTTTCGTTATATAATTTTATTGTGTATATTTCGTCTGCTCTATTGTAACGTTAGATGTATTTATGTTGAAGAGAAAATAGACTTGCAGTATTATTCTCCAAGTAGTATCAGCGCTTCTACCGTATTAGGTAGATTATATTGGTAATTGTTTCTATTGTCGTAAATGTTATTTTGTATTAATTATACAGTATATAAACTGGTATACGATTGATATTCGTATTTTGGCATTTTAATATTAAATATTTAAGAAATAGTTTTCTGTAGTTTGTGTTATGTGATTATTGTTTATTTATATATATTGTCTTTTATAATGTAATACAAATATTGACGCGACATTGCGCAACCCCTCATTTATTGATAATATTAACTGTGTTTACAATTAATATAATTATACAATCACAAAAAATGAAAATAAAATAACTATAACTCAATAACAATAGCACTAGCAAAATACAATAACAGTAATAATATATTATATATATATAAACTGTATATATATAGGCCTATATATATATATATATATATATATATATATATATATATTGGCCAATGATAATATATTGATAACGCCACTGATATTGATAATGATATTGATATTGACAAAGGTATTGATATTGATAATAATATTATAGATGACAAATTTTCGGTTTTGTAAAGCTAAAATGGAAACTCACTCAGAACGTTTCGATCCCTATCAGAGATCTTTATCAACTGACAACTGATAATAATATTGGTATTATTATTGATAATGATATTGTTATTGATAATGATACTAATGTTAATCATTATTGTTATGTCAATGACAGCAATGACGACGACTATGATGATAACAACATGAAACTTTATCAATGGCGTAATGAGTTAAAGTTCAAAGCTTAAGTTAATGTTCAGCGAACTTTATTGTTCAGAGCTACAAAAATGAATAGGCCTATTATATACAAACAATTTTGATTACAATGTAGCTGTTTAGCAATATAAATAATGGTTATTGTAAAATTGTTATAAATATTTCAACAATAGATTTTACAACAGCTTTTTATCAAAGAACATTTTCACAACAATTTAATCAAAAACTTATACAGGCCTATATAAATAAGTTTACTTTTAACCCTGCCATTTTCCGGTTTTTTGTGTTCTCTGATCACAGAAACACTATCCATGGATGCAAATACTACTTAAAAACATAGTTTTAAGCTTCAATAATGTCAATTCAAAAAATATCTAATTAATTTATTGTAGGCTCAATTCTGGCGTAATTTACAATAGGCTTTTTTAATGTTATGAAAACATAGTTGAACCAGGTTAATTCAAACATGATCTGTACTTTCATGATTATTGGGTAAATTATAACGTACGTCGATGATATTATCATTCTTAGGTAGCAACCGTATTAACTCTGCCTATTTCAAACACACCTATTATAACGTTGTGATCAGGAGGCAAACTCGATCGATTTTTTCTATTTTAGAAAATGTAGTGAAGTTACTTACGTACGGCATCTTACATAATAATATCTTATTGTTCTTAAATGTTCTTATGATGGCAAGCCTAGCCTATCTTTAAACTGTAATATCAAACTTTCAATAATGGTTTGACGAATGTGCAAAGTATATTTATTGCCGGGAATGAATTAATGCGGAGACCACAACGATACAATATACTCATATAATTGTAATAAAATCACAATATAAATTTAAGCCTAAATGATTATTTTTTATGATCTGAACTAATTGTCGGTTGCACTCAACATCGGTGTCTGTTGGTCGTTGGTAGTGTTGTCAACGATTCCGCTGTCGTCCTCTCGGTGTACTTCTGCGATAACTTCAGCCTCTCCGTTTGCGGTGTCTGTTGGATTTGGCTGTGCTTCCGTCTCCGCTGCCGCTGCTGCCGCTGCTGCGCGTTGTACTGGAATGATAAATAACAATTAATAGTAGGCATATATAGGCCTACTCTTTTTTTTAATGTTATTCTGTCACAAGCTGACGTCATAATTAATTTCAAGTCCTTATTTTTCTCTTGAAAATTTAACCATCCTGAATTCTATAAGGTCGATTGTTTATGATGCTGCACGTAACTATAACTCAACGCGAGCTCTCAATTATAATGTCTTGCGGATGCGGATTAGGAATAACTTTTTAAAAACATTCAATATAATAGAAAAATGCAATACATTAGAAATAATGATAAATATTGAATTGCGCACATGGAGAATCAAATAAGTTATCAATTTTCAAAGTCTTAGATCGAAAAAAAATCTAAGAGAATACGGACAGAGTATAAAATGGCATCATTTAAACATCCGTTATTGGTAAAACTTTGGTTTCTACCTTTAAGTTTAGTTGAAATATTAAATTTATAAAATAATACAAAACAGCTGGATGTTTTTCCAAATTCGTTATATTCACGTAGAATTAAACATTTAAAGGACGTAAAAAGGAAGTGTGTTTGGCCTACATATAGGCCTACATATTTACGTATTATATTACTGTAGTATTACAGAACCGTTTGGAACAAATAACGCGGAACGTATGTTCTCGCGATGCATCACGAGAACCCTCACTCTGTTCAACTTACATTCAAGTTTCTTAGCGGCTAGAACTACCATAGCTAGTGACGGTTTCTTGCCACTGGTCATTAAATCTGACGACGCCTTATCGCCCATATCTGAGGAAATAGATGCAAGTTAGAAAGCGGTAAAAAATCAGTCAATTATCATTCAATCTCCCTTGAATCATGCACATTAATGTACAGTAAATCTAAATTCCTTGCTTGTATTAGGCTAAAATAGTTGAGTTGCCTAAATCAAATTAGTAAGAAATATATTTTAATAGTAGAAGGTAATTCTAATACAATATCCAATGAAAACCATCAAACACTTATTGATTTCCAAATAAAACAGCATCTGCAATACTCTATATATGAGATAAAACAAATAATATGGGGCTTTACCGAAGATATGTCACCAGTTATCTTCAATTAGATCTTTAAATATGAAGATCAATTAACAGGAACAGAAAGCATTATGACAGTACTTCCAAAAAAACTTGATCTTATCAAATGTTAAAATTATATTTGTATTATTAGGTTGCCATTGAATTGTCAATGTACTGTTTAATATAATTTGTATGTGGTAAAAAAAAACAATAAAACAAAACAATATAGAGGCATAGTCATGTTGCCAAAAGCTCAGAGGAGAACAATTTGACTCTACTTTCAAGTTATAGAAGAGAATAACAACTTAACAAACAGTTACCTTTGAGAAAAGCTGAGAATGGAAGACCTGATCGTATATCACAGTCGTCCACTTCCAAAAAGTATTCGAAAATATAGAAAGAGTTTATAACATTATGGAAAAATTTGGAGTAACAAAACAGGTAATCACGTGGTGGTAGAGAGTGTGCCCTAATCTGATTGGTTCTTCTTCGCTGTATAAATATTCATTTTATTATACTGATGGTACACATGGTAGTTGTTTACTTGAGAAGAAATAAGAATATTCTTCCTCCGTATTTCTGCCAGAAAGACCACATCTGTCCGCACATGTCTAACTCGTGCCATGAGGCCTTCAAAAACTTACCATGTGTTTAGAAAGAGGGAGACAGATAGACAGACAGATAGAGGCAGACAGAAAAGAAGATGGACGGATGTTATTAGGACATTTAGGGGAATATTTTGGAAGAGAGCTGCACAAAGAAGAGAAAATGGCAAATCAATAAAGAGTTTTTCCTACTGCAGGTGGAGGTAAACAGGAGAGATACAGTTAAAATAATCTGCCGCCAAAACCTATCCGACATTTACGAGTTATAGGTGGATTCACTGCTTGTAGTTAACTATTTTGTTGTTGTTGCTATTACTATTGCTGTTATTTTTATTCTATACTAGAAAATCCTGGTAACGTAACATGTTCGTAAGAACAAAGTCAATTAACAGTAGGCTACTTACGCTGTGCTTGTACAGACTTGACGATGTCTTTGAATGTCCGTGTTCTTGCTCCATTTGACGATCCCATAATGCTACGTTTTGTGTTTTTCTCTGGTCTAAATAAAATAATGAAGATTTTTGGTGCAAATAAAAAAATGAAGGCAACCGTAGCACTTAGCGCAAGTGCAACGTTGAGGGCAGTCTGACGTAACGGCATGTTCTGCGTAATGAAATAGACAGGTATGAATGATAACCAAATGATGCACGTTATATAAGCCGTGAAACCAATGAACTTTGTTTCGTTGAAACCCGACGGGCATTTTCTTGTTTTGAATGCATAAAAAACGCAAACAAGAAGGAGAAAAGCCGGATAAATCAACACAATCATAAAGGAAGAGTCGGTTAAAACACCACATACTAACTGCAACCGGAGGTCAGTCGGTTGATGGTACACCGTCTGCGGCGGTTTAATGATTAACCAGACGATAATAATGACGAGCTGTATTCCAAACAGTAGGAGACAGAGAGCAACCTGAGATGCAGGACTTATGCAATGCGTGGTCTTCATTGCCCCTCGTCTTGAGCGATTGAATATACGAGAGATCCTGTTCGTCTTAATCAGAATTGCAGCGAAACACAACGTGTAACTGGAACCGATTCCCAAACGTATTAGCGTACATATACCTGCTGTCGGTCTGTTTGATCCTATTAACCCATTCAGATAGGCCAGAAAAATTCCCCATAACAACAGATAACTTAACTCTTTCCCAGAAGCCTTTACGATTGGTGTATCGCGATACTTTAACAAAATGGCCGCCGTCGCTACAACAACGATCATGCCAATAAAGGACACAAGTGACACACCAGCTCCCCATTTATTATACAACGTCATAGTTTCAATTGGAATGTCGTAACATTCGGTTTTGTTAGCGTTCGGTCTTTGTTTAGGAGAACATTTTTTACACCTGCGTCCAGGTGTCAGATATTGAAGTACTGTACACTTTCGACACACCCAACAGCACCGACTGTTCTCATCATCTCGGATCAGTTCTTCATTTGCTGCACAGGATTCTGCGCAAACTGAATTTGGAAATTTAATATTTGGACTTTTAAAAACAAGATTGTTTTCAAATAACGTCAAGGTATTGTTTTTATAAACGCCTACGTCTATCCACTTGTATGTCCCATTGGAACGAAACTGACGAATCAAGTATTTTGCAGAATGAATAGTCCCTTTATCGTTGAACTCAATTTGGTTACCGCTCATCCCTGTGAAGCAATAACAAAAGAAAATATACTTTAGAAATGGATTTTGCTGACTTCCTAAATAATCTTTGTTATGCTAAGGCCTAAAATAAAACCGCAAAACTAAAATGAAACTTTGAATCTTTACGTACGCAGTAGTACGGAAGCTTATAGGTTCCATCTAGATGTCTAGATAATTATCTCGTCATGTCTACATCCTTTAGAAGAGATGATTAGATGACGAGATTCTGGATCTCGTCATGTGTACATCCTTTAGAAAAGATGATTAGATGACAAGATCCTGGATCTCGTCATCTGAACATCTGGAAGGTCACTTTAGGCTTCAATACGGTATACATAAAGTTTGTAATAAACTTACCTTTAAATGAGACCTCTGCCATGTTCTTTGCGAATAACTCTCTTGCCTCTCTATCCATTAATAACGATGTCGGAAGTTTCGTCACGTTATATTTCTTCATCATATTTTGAAGAGCATGTGCAAAACTGTAAACTGAGTCGATGATAAATGGAACTTTCTGCGACATGGAGCTTACTAACTCCTTTGCATCATTGGTGTGATTAATACCGTACTTGGTTGTTCCTGCCATTGCTAACGTGTGCACATTCTCTGTATTTCTTAGAAACTCAGATACAAATTCTCTCTCAAATGTCACGCTTGACTGAGTCCAATGCGAGAATAGAAAAGCGCCCTCAATCTCATGTGGATAATATTCATCTGCTTGATTGTAACTTAGTAACCAGACGAAACGTTCACTGAGCTCGGGCTCCCTCTTACGTACACTCTCAAATAACATGTCCATCTCCTTCCTCTTTGCGTACACAATCACAACTGGAAAAAAATAAAAACAAATAGGCTTAGGCAGATAAAGAACATAATTTTCATATTTATTGAATAAAGGTAAGATCCACCTGACACTAAAATTTGCTACCATTTTGGATTTGGAAGATGAGCGTTGCCTTACCAGTTTTCAGATTTCACGATCTGGAATTCGTTGTGTGTACTATATCTTATTAAATTGTGTTTGGATGACGAATACAGCCAAGTGAATTCAAAAATATTCAGTGACAGAGCACGAGTGGAAACAGGGTTCATGACCTATAGTAGGTGGTCGTAACAATTAACATTAACATCTTGTCATTAGGCTGGTAGACAATATTAACAAATGTGACATTATATTCCAAGATAGGATTCCCCATTTTGTATATATTTTTCCTACAAAGGTGGACTATTCTTGAAGTAATGGTTACATAGTTTTTCATTGGCAGCATACCGTTACGCTTAATGTGTAGGTATATAGAAGAAAAGCAAACTACAAATAACGGTAGTAACCATTTCTCCTGTGCAATAATACCACGCATAGTATCACTCATCGTAAATTTCTGGTTATGCTTCCAGATTAGGTCTTCCTAAAATATGCATGCATCTATTAATTTATGCAATATTCCTCATAATGAAATTCTGTTTTAGTATCCGGCCACGATACTATTTTCGGCGCAAAACAGCTGTTAAAATTTTTATAACATTCTTGTATCTTTCGTTTCTTCAAATTCAATATTGTTACAATACTATTAATAAAAAATAATTATTATATCTTTTTATCATAATGTCTTTCTATTCATTACATGTGTCCCTCCAAATAAGCAACCGTTCAATTAAAGAACACCTTTAATTAAAGATCACTTTTCTTCAGTCCCATAATATCGTGCCTCTCCTGTTCTCTAATTCCTCCATGCTCTAATTAAAGACAAAATAATAGAGATTTGACGGACGCAACCTTGTCTAATTAATAACCGCTTAAAAATAAACAGTTTTAAAGTATTTTTCTTTAATAAATGTTGTTATATGTCAGCATCAAAGGCTGAAGTTGTGAATAAAGTGAGTTTTTTTATTTATTTAATATTCAACATTTTACACAGAATTGGCACTTCACAAAGCACAGCCTTATGTACAAGGTACCAATACGGTTTTGTATTGAAAGAGGTTTCATAATTAATTGAAAACTCCTTATAGGATTCTTTTAACATTATTTTAGGCACATTGTATACCTACCATACCTTTAGCCTTCTTAGCTTCGCTCAATTTTGCGGCAATTCGATGAAACTCGTCTTCGGTAGCCATTTTTGTATCATAAGAAAACTTCTTTACTTCAGCAAGGCAGATGTTATATGCGTTGGTCTGTTTCTGCAAATCCTCTAAAGCTTTGCGACCGAAACTCGAGTCCTCATACACAACAGACAAGTAGTTCCAGTTAAATTCGTTGACGAGTTGTATGATGGCGCTGTTTAGCCCCGCGTCAGATGGTACGGTGCGGAAGTGGTAGCCGTAGCGGAATCGGTTGTTGAGCTCCGAACTGGTTGCCCAATAGCTCACCTTAAAAAAGAATAGTTTAATTTGTGATACATATATTCAAAGATCAGAGCTAACTCTTGTAATGTGCGGCGTTACCATCATTAACATTATCATTCTCCGTCGTCGTTCTAATCATCAACATGCATTAGGCCTACCATCATTTATTACTAGGATTATCATTATCTTCGTCATCATCAACATCATCATCCTGTAGGGCAGTAGGGGATCTTGAACCCCTTGTTGGGGAATCTCTGGCCTCGGCACTAAGCAATGGCATCAACAGCATACTACACTTCGGCTGCTAGTATTACTATACCTCCGCCCTGTTCCTGAATACCAAGCAATACGCAGGTCGTGTATGATGGGCAATTTTATTATTTTCCGCGCCTTGAACCTGAATACCAAACAACATGCAGGTCATATGATGGGCGATTCTATTATTTTCTTTTATGCTCAAGGGTAAAAAAAAAAAGCGAATTTTCATGACCTTGACCTTTTCTTCCCAAAAGTTAATCATCTCTTTCTTAGATTATTATGTACCATTCCACTAAATTTTATGATGATATATTCCTTAGTTTTTTCGTAATCTTCCTAACGCAGACAGATAAACAGTCACAGGGGTGAATACATAAACCTCCTTGGCGGAACTTGTAATAATAATAAAACAATGTTGATGACAATTATAACAATATTACTACTAACTACTCTGATGAAGCCCAGGCAAAGGCTCACAGCGCCACCATTAGTCATTTATGCCGAGAAAAAAAAGACATTCATCAAGAAAATTAGACATAAATCGTGTGTAATAGCATTTAGTCATTACTTGACAATCCCCTGGGCGGAAGATTAATGAATAACGTGCACCAATACAACAATACTCTCATAGGTCTCATTATACAGGAAGGTTTCTTGTACATTTACCTTGCGGATTATAATACTGAAACTAATGAATAATAATATACATGGGGATTTCACTTTCATGTAAAGATTTGCTTAAAAATATTAAGAAGTATACGCAGAAATCTCATAAAAGTATAGTAAGTAATAATAATAATAATAATATTAATAATAATAACAATAACAATAACAATAACAATAACAATAATAACAATAATAATAATACTAATAATAATAATAATAATAATAATAATAATAATAATAATAATAATAATAATAATAATAATCACCAATGATGATACTGCTGATGATGACAACGATGGAAATAAATGTCAGCTTCAATACAGATTCAACATTCGTTTGGAGTCTCAATTGTCAATTATCCTAATTTGGTCTTTTCTTCCTTTAATCCCCCGTTCACATAACAAATGTCATGTGACTATAATGCATGATCTGGTCGTTAGCGAAACAGATGGCTAATGATTGTTGTGGAAAAGATAATTAATTATTTTCCTCTCGAAATATGTCTCAATCGGCCCAACTTTCGGCCCCCCTTCCGCCCCCCCCCCACCTTTTTGGACATTTCTGGATCCGCCCCTGTAATAGGCCTAGTAGGGTTCGCATTCATCAGTGGTCGACTTACTATTCCTAAAGTTGAATATCCTGTGGTGTAAAGACGGACACCTACTGCGCCCGACGGTCGTCAGCCGACGCAATTGTATAGAAAACGCAACGCCGTAACAAGTCCGAAGCGGATCACCCGTCGTCTACGCTCACTGGGAGATTCGTCGGTCGACGGTCGTACGGTGCCCGGCTGAAGGCCACTGGGGACGCGGAGGACCCAAGTGCGGTGTTTTGATGGGTTTTCAAAAATTACTATTTTGATGTTTTTTCACATGTTTTGGCCCTTATGTGGCTTCGTTCGGCCGAGTTGCAGCCTAAGTTCGGCAGAAAGAAAATGCCGATAGACATTCCCTACCGCTAAAAGGTCCGCAAAAAAGCCGCTCAAGTCCACGAATCAAACACTGTCGGGAAACTGATACCACGAGAGGTGGTCTACGAAATGTTCGATCATGCCTACTTAGTCACTGATCTTGTGCCTTTACAAAAACCAATTTCGTTTATTGGAATAGTATCATTACTCTCAAATGCGTGAAATGTAATAAATAATCATTTACAATAAATACTACAATTTGATGGCTGTTACGCCAAATGGAAATGAAGCTATCAGAGTGCTTAATGAGATTGTATAGGCCTAATGACGTACGGTAGGCATTATTGAATTGACCATCATAGTGCAGGTTCTATGGAGAACGCGATTCTATGGAGAATACGCGCGCAACGGATCGTTTTTAATGACGATCTGTTCGGACTGTTGCCGACAATCAACAGATGGCGTCGTGTCGTCTGGCGCTCACAGTGAACGGAGTTGGCTTCGTCGTGGTTCGGTCGTACGATCCAGTGAGTGCCCGGCTTAATACTTGTAATAAAATCTTCGTCGATTGGTTAGTACAATCATTCTGTAAAATGCAAATCATTAACATTTTTATCGAACTCATAAAATGTATCCCATGGGTAAATTTTGTCTACAGTCTACTTCAGGGTCCACCGCCAAGTTATTATGCTTAAGTAGGGCCGTAACTCAGTTTCAGTCAACGAGAGCATTCCTTAATTTGCATTTACTTAAATTGCGGCAGTTTCATGTGGGCGCAAGGAACAGACAGACTATGTAGGGTAAGGATGTCCAGGACGGGGCCGACTAGCACCGCTTCTTTATTAGGCCTGCACTAACCTATTAGGCCTACTTCTAGAATTATGATTATATTTGCAAAGAATTCCCATATAGTTTACAGACATCTTTTTAAATGCCTAATGACGAGCTTATGTAATTATTCAGTGCGTAGTTTGCATTGGTAGAACAATTTTGATTAAAATGTAAGTGACAGTTATACGCTAGGAATTAGAATACCGTACCATACGCCATACTAATTTCCCCCTTTCCATTGTATCTGTAGAAAGTAATTCATCATTGTTTATGTTCACAAAGGTACAACCTGCAAAGGACCTCAGGATGCATAACCGCAGGGTTATAGTTATCCTGATAATTACGCCCGACTTTTATGTTACAAGAAACTATACAATGAATTAAAAAGGCGACAGAGTCTCATTCCTCTAAATCACAGAAAGGAAGAGAGAAATATTAAATAATGATAATAATAATAATGATTTGTATGTTACAACAATTTATACAATGAACAAAAAAAGGCCAGAGCCTATGAGCATTGTAGTGACATTTATGTAACGCATATAATACCGAAGTCGCAATGAGCTAAAGCTAAAGAAAGGAAGGAAGGGGAAGATATAATTTAAACCAAAAATCAATCATAAACTAACCCTGGAACAAAATAATTCAAAAAGCCAGACAGTAAGGTGTTTGATCATAGAAGATATCTCAATGGCATGTCAGTTGCACTAGGGGAGCTCCTGTGCCCGTAACAAGCATTATTGAACCTTCTGAGGTATTTGCTAAGGTACGCTCCCACGGCTCCCACTAAACGTATGGGACAAACGCGTATTGTTGCTGAGGTCTCCAACAAATTCACTCCGAAGGTCAATTTACATGACATAATCTAGCAGAAGCCTCTAGGCCTACGTTTTACAGGAATTCGTTTTGGCAAGCGAACTCACTCATTGGTTGACATCGTTACGTGCACCGATCTGTAATAATTAATCCCCCGTCTCGGAAATTACTTTACATAAAAAAGCAATGGCGCTTATTAGTATTTAAAATATATATAATGTGCAAAAATTAGGTGTTTTTTTTAGTTCGTTGACATTTTATTTATAAATAGTGGATACTACCGGTGTCCATATTTGTGTAAGCCACAAATAGCATCATCTGGTTAAAATATACAAATGTAATACGAATGCTTTCGTAAATGAAGTTAACGCAAATATTATCAGGATCGAAAATAGTAATGAGGGAATGAAATGTTCATTTACCTTGTTTGGTAATGAAAACCTAAAGCCGAGCACGCACTGCGTCGCAAGGCGGTCTTACGGCCGTCGTACGACGAATCAAACTTCACTCCCTGTAAGCGTTAGACGACGCGACGCCACTGAACGTCAGCGGCAGGCTGAACAGATCATTATTAAAAACGACCCGTTGCGCGAGCGTCGTCGCTTTGCTTCTTCATAGAATCGCGTCAGCCGACGACCGTAGAACGCAGTGAGTGCCCGGCTTTAGAATGAGGAGCTCTGCAGATAAACCATAGTGGTTTCATGTCGATAGTTTCTTTAAACTTAGGCCTGTATGATGTTGTCATTCTATCCTTTGGATATTGTTGTACGGTTCAACAATAACAGCATAGACCTATGATGAGTGGCTTGGAGACGTGCGCGTTATTGGTCCTGTTCTAAATTTGTAAAATATGATTTTTTTTTTTTCAATTGATATTATTGTGTAAAGTTTAAATTACGTCCCGTAGTGACATCAGTCCTGTGTTGAGTGATCTGTAATGCACAAAGTAATGGAAATGACAATAACAGAGGGCAGCAAGAAGACTTGATAACCGTTAGGCCTAACAAGACATGATGATACTAATACTAATAATAATAATAATAATAATACTGTAACATCAACATCAACAACAACTAGAGCAGCAACACATAGAGAGCATATACCTCCGCCCTGTGCCTGAATACCGACCAACACGCAGGTCGCGTATATGGGGATTCCATTATTTCTGCCCTGTGCCTGAATACCGAACAATGGACGATTCCTTTATTTTCTTTTAGGTAAAAAAAAATCGAATTTCCGTGAACTTGACCTTATCCTTTTGACATTTTCTTCCAAAAATGTGATCATCTCTTTCTTCAATTATTATGTACCATTTCACTAAATTGTAGCTAGCGGTGAATATAACCTGTTTTGGCGATGGTAATAATAATAATAATAATAATAATAAAGAATGGTACGTGATAATGTCTGTAATTTACCAAACTATACGAATAAGAAACGAGTTGAAAGAAACATTTCCCAAACAGTAATTACAAGTAGACACGCTTTACAGCCTAGAAGCCTTGTTTTTATTTCATTATTTTGCCATTTTCTTCACGCGTGT